GCCGAAAATGTTCAACCCTCCCAACACTCCGGAGCTCCGCCCCATCGAGAAGTACTGGGCGATTATGAAGCAGCACCTTCTTAAACGACCTAAGGTAGTGAAGACAGTCGAGGAACTGAAGAAAGTATGGGTTTACACGCAAAAAACGGTTGATTCACAGGTTGTGCAGAATCTTATGGCCGGGGTTAAGGCCAAGGTGCGGGCATTTGCGTATGGACTGTAAATAAAATACGAGTAAAAGGGTAAAATGAAGTTTAATAGTTATTTCTCAATCCCTGAAAATTTGATTGCAACCGGATGAAAACTCGAATTTTGCGAATCAATTTTGTGTGTGGCAATTTCATCGTGGACACCCTTTAACTTGGGACCGAAGATAGTACCAGAGCTGAGCCAAAAAGTTGAGCACGTTTCTTCGGGACCTACTAGTCTTAGAGTTACCTCTATGTATATACTATGCAATATGTACACAAATAACTCGCTTTATCATCCGTGAGCACTTGACAAGGTAAACAATTAATCTCATAAGTCATAACTGCAGGGTTGCCAAACTCATGGGTTACTGAGACTGACAGCTTGATTGGTACACTTTGGCACAGTCGGCACAACGCTGGGCACAGCTTTCGGCTCAGATTGAGATGTGCAGAGTTGAGTAAGCCTTGAGATGGATTGATAATTTATCATCCAATTAAAAGCAATCATCTTACTATCACGTGTTGTCACTGTTTTTCAGTTTGATATGATAACTGTTCACAGAACATGACACCATTTTGCAAAAGATAACTTCGGATAAGAACGTAAGATTAACTCGAAAATTAATAACATTGAAAACAGCTTCACATCCTGCACAGGAAGTAATTGGCAATAACAAATTTGACGTCACTACTTTTCACATCGTTCGTAGCAATCATAAGCAACACCATGCCATACGGCTACTATTTTCAATGTTGTCATTGCACAAATGTCAATGCATCATCTCCTCATCCCCTTCCATACCGCACATCGTAACTGGAGGGCGTAAGTTGTTCCATTTTCCTCTGTTCCTGGGAGAGGGAAAGTAAGCAGTGAAAATTCGAATCGATGCCAATCATACGTCATCATTTGCTTTCTCAGCAATGTTTACAACATTTTTTTATAGCGCTATCTTGATGGTGGTTTCTGTGTTGCAATTATTTGACAACCGTTATAACATGTTATAACCATAGAGGTAACTTTAAGACCAGAAGGTCCCGAAGAAACGAGCTCAACTTTTTGGCTCAGCTCTGGTACTATCTTCGGTCCCAAGCTAATCGATGCACCCCTCGAAACATAGGGAAATCCACGAACCCCTCACTTTATCTGTCAAACTTTCATAGCGAATCAAAACAAACATAGTGTAGTACTGGAATTTATACTAGAATGGGGTACGTTAATCGATTTGCTTGGGACGAATAGGCTAGTCAAGTAGTGAGCCAATTTAAAATCGTTGGTTTCGTATTGATTGTTGTTATAACTCTCCAGTCTGAACAAGGCATAAATCCCAAATAACGAGTTTTCTTTTTACGAAGTAAATTCCAAATAACGAGTTTTTTTGTGTAGGGACCGAAAATCGGTGTCTGACGCCATTTATAAATCCAAGATGGCGACTTCCGGTTACATAAAAACTTGGAAATTCTGCCAAATACCCCACAATATGGGTATTTTTGGAATCGGAGGGACGTTTAGGGACCGAAAATTGATGTCTAACGCCATTTTTAAATTCAAGATGGCGGTTTCCGGTAACAGAAAAGCTTGGAAATTCTGTCATATACCCCACAATATGGGTATTTTTGGAATTGGAGTGACGTGTAAGAACCGTAAAATTTATGTCTGACGCCATTTAGAAATCCAATATGGCGGCTTCCGGTTACAGAAAAATTGGCAAATACCACCACATCACCCCGATTCTTAAGATACCCATATTGTAGGTTATTTAACATTATTTTTATGTTTTTATGTAACCGGAAGTCGCCATATTGAATTTCATTTGGTGATCCATAACATATTTAAGCTCCAACCATATAACATTAAATGCGGCAAGGTGGCAACAAATGGAATGCCTTCAAAACCATACTTACTTTCCCGCAATGGACAATTAAAAAATGATTTAGTTGTTTTCGAATTGACGAGCTCAATTTGTGTGAATCATGCTTTCCTACTACGTTAACTAGAAAACTCTAGCGATTTTCCGCAACGTGGCGCAACACATAGGGGAAGTGGCTCTAATGTTGGCCTATGGATCTAAGATTGGGCCCATCGTTAAAAATCTGCTATTTATCAATTGTATCTAGATGAACCCGTCATTGGGACGGTACTAATGGATATTTTTGGTTGCTATTGAAAATTTAGTCGATTGCTGAATTTATGTATGGGCCATAAATTAGGGACACTTAGGCCGACATTACATACATTTCCCCTACCAAGCTTAATCATAGAGGAAAAGGAGGAGCTGTCAAATTAGCACCAGAGCACCAGAGAAATTTGGCTTCACTCGAGTTGTTCGCAGATGACAAGCGTTGCAGTCCTGTGGTTGTTCCAGCCCTTGTATGACTATTCATACTATACATGCTGCCATTACCGAGCGTGGAAAGCTAAATTCATCCATTTTGATTCACGCCTAATTTTGCAAAAACGTATACAGTACACGTTCACTCGTTTGGCTAAACCCAGGGCATGCTTGGCATACACAGTTGTACACACCAACTGCTCATTTGTTAATAACTTTTCACTCAGTTATTGGAAATTGATTTTCTTTAAAGTAATTGATAGATTAGGATCATAGCTTACTATAGATATGCAAAGTGTAGGTAAACCTTAACATTTGAATCAACACCAATGAATTTTTACTCTTAAAGTCCGAGATGTGCAGCGAGCATTTCTCACTTGATTTTTACAACGCAAAAACAAATACAGATTATTACTAGAATTAAAATCTATTTTTTTCCTTACGTACCTATTACAAGCTTAAACATTATTCTATCTACTGCTTCAAACAGAACTATGTTCATTCAACTGTGTGCAAAGTTATTAGCAAATGAGCAGTTCGTGACCAAAACTGTGTATGCCAAGCATGACCCAGGGGTATGCTTTGGCTGTCCAATTCAATCCAACTTTCCATGCTCGGTAACGGCGACCTGTTTGTATAAAGAAATGTATCCTTCACTGTGCACTATCACTGTGCACTGATACTATCTCAGGCTTGATGGAGCCAGCTGGGTGGCAGCCCTATCTTGTTTGCCTTACCTTGAAAAGAGCTAACATCGCTGCGGGCCCGCGAATCGTGGGCCCCACTGACAGCTCATAATTTGTAAGCAAATAGAAGATTTAAGCCAGAATTTCAAAAAAGGCGTGACTGATATTTTAGATATTCTTAATTATTTTGCTTACATTTTGAGAAAAATAAACTTAGAACTCATAAAATATTATTTTCTGATTTTCTACCACGAAGTCAACCTTTTATATGGCATAAAAGGGAAAATAATTTCATTTGATAAAAATAAGACATTCTTTTTCATCAGAGTGTCGTTTAGTTCGAGATCAAGAGCACATTGCTCTCCAAACCTTGTGTTCACAATCCCTACCCTGCCATCCATTTGTTACAATTTGTCACCCCTAACCTCGAGATAGCCGCGAGTAATCGGCCCCCGCTTTACTAATGTTAGTTTTAAGTAATTTTGTAATCTAATCAATGAATATTGGCTCCGCAAAGCTACAGAAAATGAGCCTGAAAAAATAAACGCATTATAAAAAAAAATAAAATAAGACAATTCAGTCAGGCCATTTTTGCAGTTCACACTTGAATTGTGACGTTTCAGATGTTGGTTTCAATAACATGGTGGCATATCACCCAGCTGGATGGAGCCTCGCTCGCGAGTTTGGAATTGGCGTTGACGGTGACTCTGTAGCTCTTTACTCCTATGAGAAAATCCATAAGCAAACGTCAGACTGTGCGTGAAACATGGCGGACTTTGTACTATCCTTTCACTCCACCGGAAATTCCCATAAGAAACTGTCTATATTTGCTGGAAGAGCAAATTTTTCGACGGTGCCGACAACGCCAATGAGCCGAGCGTAGCATTTTTCTGCTACCAAATCATTCCACTGAACTACAGAGCTTGTGAGCAAAGGGGGATGAAATGAGAGTGAGGTTTTCTGCCATTCATGTTCATGTTTTCTATCACACGCTCTTACTCTCACTCTGGGTGAACTCTGAGCTTCTAGCGTCGAACAAAGCGCACCTCACGTCAAATCATCCTCTCCCTGAAGTTCACTCCCCCTCTCTCTCGAGGAGTTTTTGTTTACTACTTTCATATTCCTGCCGCCACTCACTCGAGGTGAGGGCTGGTTAAACTCGCAGGACAAGAGTGTTTTAAAACCTCCAGTGAGTTTGAGGAGTTTCAGCAAGCCTGTACTATCTGGAGGTTCGGATTTTGACCCCTCCCTTTCCCTCTCCCAGGAACAGAAGAAATGGAGCAACATACGCCTTGCAGTTAGTATCAAAAAGCACAGTGAAGGATACATTTATTCATACAAACAGGCCGCCATTACCGAGCATGGAAAGCTGGACCCTCGCTAATCTGAACCTACGTGATGCGGAGTCACTTGAAATGGTTGTGAAAAAAATCAACTGGTGCTGTCATTTTTCGCGAAGAGGCGATCAGAAAATCGCTAATTGTGACTCTGTCTAAGCTAAATTTGCAGGTTTTATGTGTCAAACACAAACTTTACAATCTTTTCTTGTTACACATACAAAATATTATCATAATATCATATTATTCCATAATTTCATAAAACATTTGATTAGCCAAAATGGGAACATAACTTTGAGCAAAAATTCAAAACATGAATTTCTCAAAATGTTTTTGGAAAATATATCTTAAACGTCAAAACCAATTTTTACATTTCTTTCAAAGCAAGCGCAGATTTTTTTTTAGTGTAGATTTTGACCATAAAGCTAACCTCCATCTCCATCTCTTATATCTCAGATATCCCTCTGCTCGGAGATGGCGTCCGAGTTGCGCTTCGCTCTCAAGCGCAACCGCTCCAAAACGACAACGACAACAAGCCACAACAATACACTCCGTACGTCCACCAGTTCCCGAGCATCGCCGAAGGATTCCGAACCGTCATCCGAGCATCGGTTCCATCCGCTCGGCCCACCCTACGCACAGTACGAATTCGATCCGAAAGCGGTTGGACAATAAATCACACCCACAACAACAGCGTACTCGTATATTTACGCCACAAACACACTTATTCAATGTAGTTATCGTAAAAATCATACCACGAATGCAGCAGCAGCGCCATGTTTACCCTTTTTTTTCGCATGTATCCGTACTAGAACAATCTAGGTGTCAGAAAAGAGAAGCGCATTTCCTTCGGTGCATTTTGAAACAATTTGTTCATTTTTTCTAAACTGAAAATAAGACTTGAAGTAAATGTATACTAACTTGCCCCTTTCCCGATGAATTTATCTTATTCCTTCTGATACCAATCTGTTTGTAACGATTCTTCCCTGAACAATATGCTTAGAGAAAATTGTAAAAAAAAAAACATATAAGCGAACAAAATCTAGCGAAATTCATATGAGAAAAATGTTTCGAAGCACATTTCAAAATCGATATCAAAACCAAATCCAGAAATGAAGATAAAAATACAGAACTGTTCTCGAGATACATTTTGGAGTAGGTCTAGCTCCATTTGTCGATCAAAGAATCAATTAATTTAGGCTGTGTTCCATTTGGTGGATTTTCAAATATTTTCGAATATTTTCAATTTATTTTCAAAGTGTCAAAATTAACACAACTCAACAAATGGAATACAGCCTCAATTCACTTTTTGATCGACTAATGGACATAGGACCTATTCAAAAAGCACTTCAGAGTTGTTTTAACTACTCCCGACGAATTGTTCAAAAGGTCCTATCTGCGTCGACTTTCTCTTTTGATAACCGTGGCACACATTTTGAGAAAAGAAGTTCTCTTATCTAGCTCTCAGAACGTCAAATGCAACAGGAAATCTTGTTTCTCTAGAGTTATTAACCGAAAAGACAGTCGATGAATAGAATCAATCAAAATCCGATAGGACCTTTCGAAGAATTCATCTAGTATTCAGGTCGTTTTCTTTCCCACACTGAACAAAATCCACTACCGACAAACAGTCAACATAAATCACTCACGCAAAGTGTAATCTCATCCTCAATGTTTTTGTACAACCACGTTCGCAGCCGAACAAGAGCAAAACAAAAACTCACAACCAGCAAAAGAGAGCTAAAAAGAAACGAAGCCAAACAAAAGCCGTTAAAAAAAAAGAACTACAAAGAAAACGATAATAAGGAATAAACAATTTTTTTTCGAATTTGTAAACAAAAATCTGGACGGCTTCTTTTCCCGACTTATTGATCTGAAACGATCCGAAAATGTACCACCCAAATTGTATACAATCTTGCGAGCGCAAGAAGCCCCCCAAACATCAAGAGCCAAAGTCGTAAATATTTTCCTCCGAAGAAGCAGTTTTTCCGGTTGTTTTACTGCCGATTTGCTACGATGACAACGCCGATGGACGCTGTTGATGGAAGATAAACCCCGTCTGCTCCGTCCCCTTCCCTAAGAATGCGATTTCATGACGGTAGAGGAAACATTCTATTAGATTAGGGCCAGCATAAACACAGCTGTGATGATGAGTTGTCACATTTGGTTACTGCAGCGCCTCCTTCGAATGGTCATTGAAGTGCTAGAAAACGAAGCGACGCGCCTCCCATCAAAGGAGGCGCTTGGTTGGTGGTGAATATTTTGTGATGGATTTATGGCCCCTTTCGTTGTTGGTTTGACTGTTTTTGATGGGCTTAAAGTCGAGAGGCTGAATTGGGTAAAGCACCGACATCTCATCCATTGGACAGGTTGTCATCCATCTGACAGGTGGTCGCTCGATTGGATTGATGGATTACTTTGGCAGATAGACGAGAATTTCAATTTTGATGTGTCATCTATCGCGTATCATGAAATAGCTGATTGTGGCTCTTGGAATGCAAAAATTACAGGTTTTATGTGTCAAACACATACTTTACAGCGTCTTCTTGTTACTTACAAGTACAGAATATCATTATAACATCTAATGATTTCATTTTAGGTTTTTATACATCATCTAAAAGAGCTTAATAAAAACTTCACTGTTTGACACTAAACTAAAAAAAATACAGCTCGCTCCCATACAAAGTCCCACTAATTTATGAACCTGAGAAGAGCTCCGTAATTTTGTAGGAGGTGATGTTACATGAATGAATTTGCATCTGGGATCAGAATGTTCTGGCCCCCACAGTTAAAAAAAGTTGGCACGATTATCATGAAAGTTGATGAATGTTTTGCTTATAACCCGTTCACATTACAGCCTATATCATGTAATATAGGCTGTCTTGCAATGAGCACTCATACATAGGATTTCCAGTGAACATTAGATGTATGAGTGCTCATTGCAATACAGCGTATATCACGTGATATAACCTGTAATGTGAACGGGGTATTAGTCTATGAGGTAACTCTAAGACCAGAAGGTCCCGAAGAAACTTGCTCAACTTTTTAGCTCAGCTCTGGTACTCTCTTTGGTCCCAACTTGTTCTATACTTTAACATATTTTTAACTTAACCTTAACTAAATGTTATCTTATTAACTCAACATAACTTCAACATATCTTTTACTTTTACCATAACTATATCGTAACTTTAACATATCATATACTTTACCTTAAGGTGATTTTATCTTTAATAAAACTATAACTTATTTTTTACTAAACTTTTACTTATTAACTTAACTTTAAACAAGCATTAACTTTTTTTTCTTAATTTTCAGTTAACTTTGACTTAATTTTCCAAGAACTTCCGAGAGCAGAAGTTTGCCTGAAGTTATCTGGAAGTTTCACTGGTGTTCCCTCAAAATTACTTGAACATTACATGAACTAAACATTATCTTAAATTTAACTTTACTTAAACTGAAGTTTATCGTAACTTTATCTTTACTGTTACATAACATTAACTTAACTGAAGTTCCCCTGCAGTTCTCTGAAAGGAGCGAAGTTCCAAGAACTTCCCAACTGCCCTTTCGACATTCCCTATTGTAGCCTCCGATGACTACCAGATCCAGCGAGACTCCCACTCCGGCGAGATAATCTTTCTTTAGTTTCAGCCAATTCCTTGATCGTTTGGCAATTTCATAGGTGGCTTCCTTCTGGAGGGTTTTTGACCATCAGACCTGCGCAGTTGCCTTTGACCGCTGCGTCCAGGAAACGATGTAGTTCGTTAATATCGCTGGTATCCAGTCGGGTGACGTACTTCCATTTGCCTTCGAATTCACTGAAGTGCTTGTACAGAAGCTCCCAACGCTCGATGAAGGGACGCTCCACCAGCGGGTTGCCGTTCAAGTAGAGCAGGTCGCACATTAAGACGCACGCATACCCGCCACGTTGGCGTCTTTTCGCTTCCGGGTACTCAAAATTTGGAACGGCAAAATCTGTTTCTTCTCCGAATCCCACGCCACGGCCTCGCAGACCAGAATCGCACTGGTAACCGCTTTTTTCCGAGTGTTATCCAGCCACACGATGATATCCGGATACTTACTGGTGTTGTTCTTCTGATTCCGACTGTAGATGTTGACACTACTCCAGCAGATGAATCTGAGCTCGTACTTCCACTCGCAGGTGAAATCAATTCAATCGATCCTTTCCAGCACTTCCTGGACGCCCTTGGTCGGATAGGCCAGCATAGGCTTCACTGGAGTGCCCGGCTTCATAGGACACTTCTCCAGAAAATGGTCGATGCCATGCTCCAGCAGGACCGGAACGATCTGATTGTAGTTTGTGACAGTGACAGTATAGACTGTCTTTAGGATAACAGTAATTCCTTCCACCTTGGCCTTGGTCGATGTCTCGTTGCACTTGCTCAGCGCGTTGATGATGGGTTCCTTGGCGTCCTTTTGATTAGGTGGAGTCATGGCACATGCTTAAGCCAGTGCTTGCAGCAGTGATTGTTCCTCCAGACCTATCCGAAGCTTCCCAGCAAGCGAACGAATGATGAATCGAGGCTCCGAATGCCTACACGCCACGAACATCGATTGAATCTTATCCACCTTCTTGGCCATCACACAGCTAAACCGAAGTATACAAGTAAGCACCACGTGAAGAAAGAAGTGTTGTGTCATTACTGCAAGAAGAAAGGACATTTCGGCGGGATTGCCGGAAATTAGCGCAGAACAAGCGGGAAAAAGAGAAGACGGATGGTCAGAAGGTGAGTATGGCCATCAAATCCGGTTCTTTTTTTTAAACGTGCTTGGCAGCAGGCGAAGCCGATAAAACTGGTTTCTGGTACCTGGATTCAGGTGCCACAGCACATATGACGAGTGACACGTCGTTGCTGGATGGTGTGGATAAATCTAAGGCAACGGCGGTCTGCCTGACGGATGGAAAATCCATCAAGCCAGCTGGAAGTGGTATCGGTAAGGTAGTCTCCTTCAACGGAGATGGCATCAGGATGAACGTTCGGCTCGAAAACGTCCTGCATGTTCCATTGCTCGCTGGTAACCTGCTGTCGGTGAGTAAAATCACAGATTTGGGTTTTCGGGTGCTGTTTGGGAAAACGGAGTGCCATATCCTCAAAGGAGAAGATACAGTGCTAGTTGGGCAGCGTAAAGGAGGGCTGTACCACTTGAAGCAAGCTCCGGAGAAGGCATTTCTGCTTGATCCGAAACATGCAGACCTGTGTTGTCATTTGTGGCATCGTCGTTTCGGACATCGCGATGTGCAAGCTATTGACAAAATAATACGTGATAACCTGGGGTACGGGTTAAAAGTGGAACCTTGTGAAGTTCAATCGGGGTGTGGTCCGTGTTGTGAGGGGAAGATGGTTCGAGAGTCGTTCCCAAAAGTGTCGGACAGAAAATCTAGCGTGGTAGGAGATCTAGTGCACACTGACTTGGGCGGTCCGATGGAAGAAGAAACACGAAGTGAAAATCGATTTTACATCGTTTTGGTAGACGATTACAGTCGTTACACGGTAGTGCATCTGTTGCGTCGAAAGTCGGACGCAGAAGAGAAAATCCGGGAGTTCTGCAGTCTGCTGAAAATTCAGTTCGGATATGATTATGATTAGCAGGGATGCAAAGTTCTTGGAGCTGTGCGATACGAAAGAGGCTGTTCGGATTCAGGGTCTAGGAGCAGGAAGAGTACTGGAAGCTCCGCTAGTGTTGCCATCAGGAGATGAGTCTCGGGATGAGACGGATGGGACCTCAACGTCATCGGAAGAAAATTCGGAGTCGGTAGAAGAATTCATGGAATCGGTAGAAGACGGCCGGGATCTGAATGGATCGTTCTACGATAGTGCTTCGGAAGGAAACCAATCGTTTCATGGCTTTCCTTTAGACGAAATAGCAACGCGTTGTTGATGCGGAGTCTGTGGATACGGAGGTGGTCGAACCAAGATTCTTGAAGGAAGCGGTGACCTGTGAACCGAAAGAAAGTTGGAAAGCGGCAATGGTTGACTGTTCCTTTCTTTTTCACTCCACCGAAAGGACTAATACCGTCAACGCAAATACATGCGTCTTTCCTAATTC